TACTTGCAAGCAGACCCTTAGAGTTTTTTTCGACCACAAATATACATGGCGACGTGATTTCCCTTAAGACAAGCAGCACAGACCAATTACCCATCCATTTGCTAAATGACAGGGAACTTGGGGATTTGACTGCTTCTTCTGATATTAATTGTTTTGGGCCGTTATGGCTTGCCTCTGTCTTGCGCCAACATTTGCATTTACCATGGGTGGGATATAGTCCGTTTCCAGTCGCCCATAATTAAAAGGCACCCAAACATGGCAACAAAATAAATCCGATAAACGAATGGCCTTGAAAATACCTAGCTCGAAGGACGCTGTGTATGATTAAAACAAAGGCGTATGTCTTAAGTTTGTATCAAAATATATATTCGGACGAAATCGGTCTTAAAATTTGCCCTTTGTGAGTATTTGGGCAACGATTGAAATCTAATCGGCAGGTCCCAATTGGCTGTGGAAACTGTAAATATAACTAAGAGAACTTCCATCTTTGGAGGATTTTACCCTTACCAAAACAGTACATCGAACTTGAAACTGAGCCCACTTGATGCGATTATGGGAGCTGAAATGATGAAGAGTGTATGATACAAGCAATGACCGAAGAACTGCCTGTACGGAGACCCTTTTGGTTAATTACGCAAACTTGACCAAAGTAATTTTAAGTAATATTATTCGACAACAATTTACAACAGGAAATGCTGTCCTTCGCTTAAATAAACAAAGATGGTAGCATTTGTCAGTAGAAATAGATTGTGACGACTACACAAACATTGTGAAAAGAAGCCTTGTTTTGCCTAACCAGAGGTCTTTTCAAATGCACACGAGCAGTTGAGTTTTTAGCACAAACAGGAATTAATATTCTTTTTCAGGATAAAACGGTATGCTCTGTAAAATATTAACTTAGAAACGGCGCCGTTCATTAGTATCCGAACGGAAAAAACGAATCCGCCCGTTCTCGATGTGGCATAGTGATTTAACCAAAAAAGACGCTGAAAATCAGTAATAAAAACAAGTAGTAATGTCATTTTAAATATGGTTATTACTGGTGCCGACAGAATACTCGACCACAAGCCAACATCCGCTCGTACATGAGTACCTGCGGATTGTGCTTTGTGGTAGATGCAATTTCAACATCCCTTAAGTGGTACTTTAGGGACGAAAATGATTTTGGCTAGTTTGACGGACGTCCCGAGGGTTCCAGCTAGTGCTTCATGAATAGTGCGCGTTCTTTTAGGCAGTGAAGTGCAAAACCTGCCAAAAATACAGTACATCTGCCTTTAAGAGGAGACATTAAATTTGACCTGCGGTCCGGCCCGTCCTGCCAACCGCACACGACATCTTCAGCGCGCTTGGACCTTTCCTACTAAATTTACGACACCAAAACAGCATGGGGTCTGCTGTTTGGACTGGCCATCAGATAGGTCGCCTCCGCATTTTCACCATTTATTCTGCCTTAAGAAGACATGCGGTCTCGGTGCACAGAGGAAAAGGAACAAATACGTGGCAGGTTCTGAACAAGTCTCAAAAGAATTCAAATCAAGAAATGCAAAATAGCAGAAGCATGTTGTGCACTGATTGACGTATAGCCACTTTTTACATGGGAAGTCTGAATTTGAGTACATACAGTAGGCGGGCTAGCTCATGAAATGTCAACCGAAATTCCGAAATGCATTTTCATTTCGAAAAGATTAATTAAGTAGGGTTGTAAAACTAGTCAACCTGCTCCATAATTATATGATAATTCACTTGCCTCAGGATGCCGGCTTTCGAATGAACTTCCTTCCAGCTGCATAAGGAAACAACACGGTAAAAATGACTACTTAAGTAGCATGAATTGTTCCCATGAATCTTCGAGGACTGTGAAGGTCCAATTACATGCATAACAATATTCATTCTTTCGATCGATCGGTAGACAATTACGTCTTTGTTTAATTTCACGCTCGATGAAAGGATGTAATTCAGTTTTCAAAACTTTTCGAATTCCCGAATAAATTTAAACTCGATCTGCCGTTAGACTTGGTTTCAGGGTATCCAAACTACAAGCCGTATATTTTCCACGAACCGAAAAGCACACATTTCTCCACGGTACTAAAGGAGGACCATATAGGGTTCATAAAATTTAGCAGTTGATTCGATCCACATTGTTAACTTTACAAGCCACATTGGTAAATTCAGAGACATGACGATTTATGAACGGCCATTTTACGGCATTTAAAAAGCCCACCATCAGAAATTTTTTTCAAACCGAATTGTGTCCCTCCTTTGAGCACAAAATTAGAAGAAGACGTATTTATCTACCGAATGAGTGAAAGAATGAATATTTTTATGCATGTTTTCCATGAAGTATAATTGGACTTTTAGAGGCATCGAAAATCAATGAGAAAAATTCATGCCAATTAAGTAGTCATTTTTTACGGAGTGTAGTTTTTGAATACAGCTGGAAGAAAGTTTATTCGAATGCCGGCATCCTGAGGCAACTGAATTATTATAGAATTTTGTTGCAAGCGGACTAGTTTTACAACCCTACGTAATTAATCTTTTCAAAACGGAAACGCATTTCGGAATTTCGGTTGACATTTCATGAGTTAGCATAACTACTGTAAATGTGCGGTCTGATATGCTAAGTCCAATTTGTTTTTTTGGCAGATGCAAATTATTTTAACTGACTTCTGAGTTTGAAAAAGAGTTGTGACCTCGACAGAACAAGTGGTTGTAATCGGCTGGACAATTGTGCATGATTAAATAACTCCCGAAAATGAGCGCGAACTTCCATCCCAGTCTAAAAGTAGACGTGATCTCTCATTAAATGTTGGCCGAAAATCGTAAATATACATTTGGTAGGAAAAAAATTACTAAAGTAGGATCGTGAGGCTAACTGTCGCGCAGAATGACGTCAGGTTGCCGGCTTTTTGAGCAAACTTCTTTTCGACTGCTTGCAAAACCATATCTTGCAAAAACAATAACTTAATTTGTACGAATTTTCTTATTGATTTTCGATACACAGATAAAGTAAAATTTATCATATAGAAAACATGGGCAAAATATTCTTTCTTATGTTTATTGGTTGGCATATGACGTCCCATTCAAGTGTTATGCCTGAAGAAAGCGTGTCTTTCGGTCTTAAAAACCTTCTTAATTTCCGAATAGTTTTGAAGCTGACCGGTTACATCAATTTTCTGGGTTTTCAAGCCTATTGCTGTACATTTTCCCTGTAAAGCTTTTCCAGCTCCCTTTTTAGTTGTTGATAACGTTATTCTGTCATTATTTCTCGTTGTTGTGCGGCCCCAAGGTAAAACGGAACGAGCTAGCTCCGTAGCACGATCGGTGAGTGACCACCTACCATCATATATCATATATATCGCACAGGAGACATATATTTTTGCATACATTGCATAATGTTTTATACTTTGCAAGCAGCATTTATGGTTGAACGGATACGATGACTGGTGGGCAGACATTTCGCGGTCTCAAAAAAGTTCTCAGTTAAAAACCAGCGGGACTGACTTGAATGGCCCCGCAAACAGGACATGGGAATAGATGCGCCCCGCCAAAATAATAAAGATGGACCTACGTATAATTTCCGAAGTGGTAAAATATTCCCGTGTAATAACCTCGAGCCTATCCCCACTCTAAACCATAGGTCTGCAGTTAAAACAACCCCATACCTCAACCGTAAACTTGATCTTGACTTAGACTGCCGTTAAGTTTAAGGCTAGCCTTGAGCCAAATCCCTAACTTAACGTGAACCTTAAATCCAGCCCTAATTTCACTGAAAGTTAGCTCAAAGCCGTCCGTATCGCATCTCATGTTCTGCTTGGGGGGGGCATAAGTCAGTCCCAACCAGAAACCTTTTTAAAAGCGAAAAAAGACCTTTCTTTAAGTAAGCATTTGACGAAGACGTAGCCTGCTATCCATTGAGTGCAAGAAAAAACATTTTACTGCATGTTCCCATAAAATATGTATCGAAAATCAATAGGGAAAATTCACACCATTTAAGCAGTCACTTTTACAGAGTGTAGTTTTTACAAGCAGCCAGAAAGAGGTTCGCTCAAAAGCCGCCAACCTGACGTAACTGAAATATCTGGTGATGATGCTGCGCGATATTTGATTTCACGACCTGCTTAAGTAGTTTTTTCTAACCGAGGATACATTTGAAAAGTACGGTTAAACTTTCATAATGGAAAGAAAGAGCACGTCTAATGTATTTGCTCCCACCAGCCAGTCTTTCGGCGGCGGAAAACCCCTCCATCCCTAGAGCAATGACAGGAAATCGGTAATTGCTCGCTCACTTAGGAATCAATGTCGCAGTGCGATGGTTGACGATAAGGCGGTCAGTTCAAGTCAGTGAAACAGAATTTCCGCCGTTGATATCTGAGTCACTTGTAGGCTCTATGTTAAATTAAGCACTGTCCGACTAAATAATGCTGTCTGGCTTTTGATCTGGATAAGCCCTCATTACGAATTCCACACTTCGGCCAACTAAGAGTTAGACGGCCGCAGGGGCAGCCAACTGAGAACTTGTCACGGCAGTTTGAGCCATTTTGACCGACAGGCACAGATCTGATTAGGGAGATAAGAAGTGAGACATCAGCTTGGAGGATGTTGCATTCTGTACACAACCGTTATATGAGAGGTAGGTAGGAGTTGGCAGTCGGACGAGGGCACGGCCGATGCCGCGAGTGAGTGAGGGAATGGAGCAGCCGTCCAGCGCCTTCAGAGAGGTCACGTCTGAGTCAATCTCAAAGATGATTGGCCAGTTTGAGCGGCCAGCATTTGCCAAGTACCAGACTGCGATTAGTTCTCACGTACAAGTAGTCGCGAGAGGCTTAGCCCTGTAACATGCGCCCGGAGTTGAGCCACTATAAAGTAAAAGACACTGGAGAAGTTAAGATTAACGCAGGAGGGCGAAGCTACTGCTCTGCTCGGTCGCTTATTCTGAAAATTGCCTTATGCACCTGTTACGGTGTTTGCAAAGGGCACCTCAATGATGAATCACGCATACAATGGATCTGTTTCGGTCGCTGTATCAGTGGCGAGAGGAGGCAAATGACGTGGAGATTGATAAGGCGTTTCGCCACTGGATAACACTATGCATAAAGAAACCGTGCTCCACTCAGATGACACTGTGGCAGTTCGCGTCTCCCATTTCGCAGTTAAAGATCGAGCCCAGCAAACTGGCCGATGATATAGCCGCTCTTCAGAAGCAGACAGTTTCTGCCTCATCTCGGAGCCAACCGAAGCCTTCCACCCCGCATGTCCAGTCTTCACATTCAGCCCGTTCAAACGAAGCTGCCATCTGCTGGTACCACACCACCTTCGGTGCTAAAGCCCGTCGCTGCGTCTCTCCTTGCTCCTTCACCTTCAAGCAGAGCAAACGGGTAAAACCGGCTAGCCCGAAGGTCAATGCAGCCAATCTTTCCGACAGCTCTAACCCTGGTCACACATTTTACGTCCGCGACACCAGGAGTAGCAGACGTTTCTTGGTTGACACTGGTGCCCAGTTAAGTGTCATTCCACCCACACCAGCTGATCGTCGGTGTCCCAATCCCGGTCTTTTCCTTCAGGCCGTCAACACATCGCCTATTACCACATTTGGCACATGCTCCCTCTCTCTGGACATCGGTCTCCGGCGTCTCTTCCCTTGGGTCTTCGTCGTTGCTGACATCCCCTGTGCAATTCTCGGTGCAGATTTCCTCGCCGCTTTCGATCTTCTGATCGACTGCCGTCAGTCACGTCTACACGACAAGACCACCAACCTCACTGTTCGGGGTATTTCTTCCTCCGACGCCTCCCGTCATCTTACCGTCTTGGACCCTGAACCCGAGAATACATTTCGGCAACTCCTCGCCAAATGCCCCGGCCTCATTCGTCTCAACTTCAACGTTTCTATTCCACCACATGACGTTTTTCACCACATTCGGACCACCGGCCCTCCCGTGTTTTCTCGCCCCCGCCGTCTCGCGCCTACACGTCTTGCTGCCGCCAAGGCCGAATTCGAGCACATGCTTCAAATGGGCATCATCCGTCAGTCTGAAAGCCCATGGGCCTCACCCCTCCACATGGTTGCAAAGGCCGCCACTGGTGACTAGCGCCCCTGCGGTGATTACAGGGCCCTGAACAACGTTATTGTCCCGGACCGCTACCCTGTCCCACATCTTCAGGATTTTGCCGGTGCCCTATTCGGCAAGTCTGTATTCTCGATGATCGATCTGGTCCGTGCTTTCCACCAAATTCCCATAGCCCCAGAGGACGTTTCGAAGACGGCCGTTACCACACACTTTGGCCTCTTTGAGTTCCTTCGCATGCCGTTTGGACTTCGCAACGCCTCCCAGACCTTCCAAAGGTTTGTAGACAGAGTGCTTCGCGGCCTACCATTTGTCTACGCCTATATCGACGACCTTCTGGTAGCCAGCTGTACCACCGAAGAACACATGGAACATCTTACAACGGTGTTTGACAGCCTTCAACAATTTGGCGTTGTTCTTAACCCGTCCAAGTGCGTCCTCGGTGTGCTCTCCCTAGAATTTCTCGGTCATCTGGTCGACTCCCACGGCATTCGGCCTCTTCCCTCAAAGGTTGCCGCCATTCGAGACTTTCCACCCCCACCTCGAAGCGTCGGTTGCAACGGTTTCTTGGTATGGTGAACTTTTACCGCCGGTTCCTACCGAACTGTGCTGATCTCATGTTGCCGCTCACCAACATGCTTTCTGGTCCCAAAGGTCCCCTCGAGCTGACTGGTGAAGCACTGACTGCTTTTGAGAGAATCAAGAATTCCCTTGCTGATGCCACCTTACCCAGACATCCCGCTCCCGAAGCTCAGCTGTCTCTGATGGTAGATGCATCGACCGTAGCCGTAGGTGCAGTCCTTCAAAAACACCTTGCTGGTTCGACTCAATCACTTGCCTTTTTCTCCAGAAAGCTCTTACCAGCTGAGACCTGCTACAGTACCTTTAACCGTGAACTACTTGCCATTTACCTGGTTGTGAAGCATTTACGGCATTCCCTTGAAGGTCGTGACTTCACCGTTTTCACTGACCACAAACCGTTGACTTTTGCACTTCGTTCCCACACTGACAAACTAAACCCCCGGGAAATCCGCCAACTGTACTTCATCTCCCAGTTTACCTCAGACATCCGCCACATCGACGGCTCACGCAATGAGGTGGCTGACGCACTGTCCAGGCCCTCTATTGCTCATCTTCAGCTTTCACCCGGGATAGACCTCGTTGAGGTGGCCGCTGAACAACGCCGTGTCGGTACACCCTGTGCTGAGGATGTTTCCGGACTCCAACTTCAGAACTACCTCTGACAACTGGCAACGACACCATTTTATGCGACGTATCCACCCCTTCCCATCGTCCATTTGTGCCACCATCTCTCCGCCGCAAAGTGTTCTCCTCCCTGCACAATCTGTCTCACCCTGGGAGTCGACCAACCGACAAGCTAGTTTCCGACCTCTTCGTCTGGCCTAGTATGCACAAGGACCTCAAGGCATGGACACGGGCTTGCATCGCCTGTCAACGGAGCAAGATCCAGCGGCACAACAAGGCCCCCATTGGCACCTTCCCTGGCCCTGGCGCAAGGTTCAGCCACGTTCACCTGGACATTGAAGGCCTCCTGCCTCTGTCCAATGGTTGTTCCTATTTCCTCACCTGTGTGGATCGGTTCACTCGGTGGCCTGAAGCAATTCCCCTGCCTAACATTGCTGCTCCAACGGTGGTCAAGGCTTTTCTCAGCCGTTGGGTTGCTATCTTTGGTGCACCCTCCACAATCACGACTGACCGTGGTGCCCAATTTGCGTCCAACCTCTTCCAGTCATTACTCTCCTTTTTAGGCTGTACCCGCATCCGGACGACAGCCTATCACCCGGCTGCTAACGGGATGGTCGAGCGATTTCACCGCCAGCTGAAGGCCTCCCTACGCGCCGCGGCCGATCCGGAGAACCGGACGGACCACCTTCCACTGGTCCTCTTGGGCATCCTCTTCGCTCTGAAGCCGGACCGTGATTGTTCCGCAGCTGAACTGGTGTTCGGCTCCACCGTCCGACTCCCCGGTGAAAAGATCTCGCCAACCCCTCAAGGTGCAGTTGAGGATCCCACCAACCTCCTGCATCGCCTCCGGCAGTTTATGCGGACACTTTCTCCGGTTCCTCCCAGGTCCTCCGACTCTCCGTCTTATCTCGAGAAGGACTTGGCAACGTGCTCTCACGTCTATCTCCGATGTGATCGAGTCCGCCGGCCTCTGGAACCGCCCTATGACGGCCCATTTCGGGTGCTCTCTCGCGGACCGAAGACTTTCCGCATTCAGCGCGACAATCGTGAAGAGGTCGTGAGTGTGGACCGTCTCGAAGCTGCCGCCCCGGATACTCCTCCGGATGAGCTCTGTGGTCTCCTACCCCCTGCTCCGCCTCCCGGACCCTCTATTCCACCGTCCCGTATACTTCATCTGCCCTCATGTCCACAACCCCCAAATGCAACTACCCCTTCATCAACAAACAACACTGTAACCGCGAGCCATACTCACTCTACACCTCTGCCCCCTGTATATATCACCCGTAATGGACGCCATGTTCACTTTCCTGACCGTTTGATTACTCATGTTTTTTAGACACCAACAACTCCTTCGGCGCCGCTACGCGCCACTTTCGGTCTAGTCGGGGGGGGGGGGGGTACTGTGACAGTTCGCGTCTACTCGCTCTTCGCCCTTGTCACGCTGCCCTCCTGTCCGCCTCACACTCCTTGACGATGCGCTGCTGGGATGCGCGAGTGCTCGAAGCCAATCAACGCTGTCCCCACTCTGATTGGCTGGCGGACGTAGAGACAACGAAGGGCGCACACACGCGCTCACAACACCTCGAAGGCGGACACAGACAACAGCTTGCTTGGAGCGCGCTCTCGGCGACTGCCTACAGAGCCCTTGTGTACGCACTTCCTCAGGCAGTAAAGGTTGTCCAACTCAAACCGTCTTCCCTGACTTTTGATTGGGAATCTTTATCTTGTCGACCACTCGACTTTCGACAACACCTCCATTACAGAACCATGTAGATCACGTTTACCATCCAGCGGCATGATAAATCTCGTTGCGGATTCCACAAGGCTGTCAGCGTTACCAGTGGGATAGAAGTTGCTGAGCTTATGTCCAGACAACCGATGTTCCACTGTGGGTGTCAACATGGATTCGGGGCATAACCTCCTCGAAACAACTGCTGGCCATTGACACGGGACCTTCATTTGTCATCTAATAGTGCTGTGATCGGATGACAACAATGAATGCGACAGAAGAAAACGAGATCTCTGTTCTTGACGTGTGCAGATAGAAAAAAATACCAGCTTAAATAAGAGACGATTTAAACAGTCGCGATTAACAGTGTCATTCAGGGCAACAGAGACTGACTGTTGTAGACTGACAGTTTGTGCTCTTCCAACAGGTCTTTATTGTTCAACGTTCTGCCGCGTCATGGTCGTACATATTTCGTTCGCAAACATTCGCAGTCACACCGATCTCAGAGTCTCACTAACTGCGACGTACGCCTTCGCGCGCGTTCAACTAGCAACAACCGAAACTGCTTCATTTATCGCAGTACGCCGCCTGGGAAGGAAGCCTTTTTACTTTCCCCCATGGACGTTTAAAGGCAGTCGGCATCGTAGGTACACAATCGGAGTCAGCAAACAATCTCATGAAATGTCAGCAGAAATTTCGAAATACCTTTTCGATTTGGAAGGATGACTAGAGTGTGATTGTGATTATACTCAAATAATATGCATAATCGACATGGATTTCTGATACCTTTAAATATTCAAAAATATTTTACTAAAACATGTAAAAAAACAGTAAAACAGTGTGAAAACTATCTTACTGTAAGATTTATTGCGCACGTGAAATATTCATTCGAATAACATCGTATCTATTTGTTTAATAATGCTCTTCATTAAGTGTATAACATAGTCAGAATCCGTTGAGACATCTCATGAGAACAATATGCTTTCGTGTTAACGGCATTCGGAATGTACCAAACCTTTAGACTGAAGACATTAAACGAAAATGCGACGGTAGATAAAGATCAAAATTGTGAGAAGACTGAAAACCGTTTTAAAACCAAAAGACACGCTTTTTACGAATATGCATTTTGAGAAGACATGATTTGCTACCAAATAAATGCAAGAAATGGCACTTCTATGGAGGTTTTCTGTACAATATATCTGCATTTGCAGGGGAATCGAAAGTCGATGGAGAAAATACATAATGTTTCAATGGCCTTTTTCCCCGAGTGCGGCTGAATCCCGGCGTGCCAGAAGGGTTGCGGGGTTACGTCACAAAATAGCCGCTATTACAGCACCACTCATGTAGTCCATCCCGGTCGAAAAGACATTTCTGAATTGCGGCTATTATTTCATGAGATTGCACGGATATTCTCTATCAGACGTAGCTGGACACTGTCGTCACACCCCAGCCTCGTCTGCTGAAAGCGACTTGGCCAGGTATTTGTGACGCCTAAGGCGCAATCTTGATAAATGCACAATTGCGAACAAGCCCTTAAAACTGGCCGTGCGATAGATGCCTCGGACGTTCCAGCCACCAACGTCCTCCTCCGTTCTTCCTAACTCTGTCATGAAGCCAAGTCCATGTGTAGAGGAGAGAAAATGCGGTAGCTGCTGTGCAAGTCTACTATCACCATGCACTGATTCACGTGCAAGTCACCATCCCTGACATCCACCGACTGTGGAGCACGTGCTAGACATAGTTGAGAACGATGGTCAAATTTTTGTTGCGCATAAGTACTCCAAAAACCCCAACGATTATCGGCCTAACTGGCAGGTACTATTTGAAGTTCGCTTGTACAGTCTGGGTGATGATTCGGCTAGGTAATGTCCAAAGGGGCGGAATAAAAGCGCACATACAGTGCGTGACCGATCTCGTGCAATGTCGACCAAAATTCTGGAATGCGTTTCCGATTAGAAAGGATTACATAAGTGTGATTGTTATACTGATTATCACGCAACCTAACCCTAAAAGATTTCGGAATTGCCAGGATGTCGGCTTTTGAATGCAGTTCATTTTGACCTCCTACAGAAATCACGCTCAGTAAAAAATGACTTCTGAAGCAGCATGTATTTTTCTATTGGTTTACGATAATCTTATAAATTTAAATGTGTTTTGCAGAAAAAATGCACAAAATATGCTCTTTTTGCTAATTTGGAATAAAATGAGTTTGCCTTCACATTTTATCCCTGAAGAAAGTGTGTAATTAGGTTTCAAAAATTTTCCTGATTTCCGAATAACTTCTAGCCTGGTCTACCATTGCATTAGCGTTTGGCGATTTCAGCCTACAAGGCGCATGCTTCCGCTTAAGGAAAATCATATATTCCTATATGCCTATAAGAAGAAATCACATGGAGATCGTGAAATCTTGCAACGGATCCGCACTGCGTTGTACATTTCATGAGGAGCATTTGTAAACGGACGTGTGCGGTCTTGCATGCATGGGCATCGCACGGTTCTAAAAATCTCATAATTGGAAACTTTTTTAAAACCGAAATACACACTTTCTGTGGGCATAAAATATAAAGACTATGTAATTTCCTAACAAATCAAGCAAAGAAAGCGTATTTTTTGCATGTCCTCCATAAAATATATTTTAATTTATAAGGCAATCGAAAATAAGTGGGAGAAATGCATGCTACTTAAGTAGTCCTTTAATACCGAGTGTGGTTTCTGCACAGATCAAAACGGAGCGCACTCAAAAACCGACATCCTGTCGATTCCGAAATGTTATAGGGTTATGTTGCGTGATAATCAGTCTACCATCCCCACTTAAGTAATCCTTTCTAATCAGAAACGCATTCCAGAATTTGGATAACATTTCATGAGATCGGTCTCGCACTGTACATTAATATGCCACTTTGCGTCATTCGTCTCATAACGACATAATAACCGGATGCAACTATAATAAGTACTGCATTTTCCATCTGATTTTGTTTTTTGATCCATTTACTCTGGGACGTATTCTTTTGAAATTTTTCTTTTGCACATAATTGTCCCGTTTAAAAGCGCTCAGTCACTTCAAATAGGCGTTTCGCTATAGCTGTGCCTGTTCTACCTGTTATTCACGATTGTAAATTTTTTTCGTTTTTCCTCGGATTTTCTCTCAGCTAAGGCTGCCCTTGAAATTTTTTGGTGGCAGGGAAGACAGCGAGGAGACAATAACAGGTCTGGGAATGATGCTTTTTGGAGTTTCTGTGATATTTTAAATAACAGATGGCAAAACACAAAATGGTCGTTTTTGAATACCAATTTCAGTTAAACGCGTCCTTGTTTAATTAGGATTTAAGTAATCACAAAATGAACCATATGAAGAAAACGCCTACTTTAATGCACCAGAAAGGTAGTAACGCACTCTGGAGTACAAATGTCGCCACAATGTTTGGAGACAACTGTTGAAAGAGGTTTAATAAGAAGAGGCCTGTTGTTCCTTATAGAGCAACCATTTTGTCCCAATTTCTGGACTTTGCCACGTAAGACACGCAGTCAAACAGTGTTTTACAATATGATTGAGTTCTTAGTTTCGAAACTGGCTTCCAAACTCCTAGGACTTTTGATGTAGACACTCCATTGTTTACCAACGGCTGTCTGCTGTAGTCGACCTACGACCTTCCGGTAGACGGAAGTTAAGGATCTACATAGAAGATCATAAAGCAACAGTCATGACATTTTAAGGATCCAAGCTCTGTTTTAATGGGTTCGTCGGGGCTTCCTCATGGCCATACTAATCTGTATAATACTCAGAAAATATGCGTTTTGTCGACCTTCTTTGATTCGATCTGCTCATTGACTCTTTTCTTTGTATACGAACAGTGCTAAATAATTTTCTTAATAACGAACGTATTTTATTTTTCTCCACGCAAATCAGTACATATTTATCCACTTTCTCTATGCTTATGATAATCTGGAGGTTTCCAAATAGTAGTCATTTAAAATACCTGGGGCTGAACTACCAGTTGGATGATCAACCGGCACCTTGAAGGTCCGGGTGCTGTTTGGGCAAGCACCAACTAAGCCAAAAGAATAAGAGGAATAAAAAATATCTGACGAACGCGCGTTTCCTGGAGATCGTTGTCACGTAAAGCCAGCCGACACCCTAATTAGGCAGGCTGAAACTAAAAGTTCTAATCCTACTTCCGCAAAACATTCAGTAAAACAACAAAGTCAAGGTCACAGAAGTTGGATTAAGATAAAGCCCACCTACACAGCCCTCGCGCAAAATGGAAGTAAGAAAGCGAGACGTCGCAAGAGGTCAGCTCGCGAGCCTCATCCGTCAGACTGGACGGATTTTTGCGCCAAACGGTCAATGAAGGCGAGATTTATGAAATGTAAAGCGAAAACTTTAAATGTGTTTGCAAACGAAAAAGACTAATTAACTGAGGTCTGACGAGCAGTGTCTTAAGCCAATGTGATGCACTTTGGTTCAGATATGCAATCGCAACCGCTCGGAGAGATAGATGCGACTGATGCAGATAAGATCCATCTTAATCTAACCTTTATTTCTCCATAAAACCTTACGATAATCGATTCCTCTCCTCAGGTTTTGCGCATAAAACAGTGTATCCTACTTTAGGGTTATGAGATATCGTAAAAGTAGCATACGTACTCCCTAAACGCCCAGACACGCCTGTTTCGCCGATATTCTGCCGCTGCATGGCACAACTGCGAGGGGTTCGGCTCTTCAGTTTATCCCCATGCACTCCCCATCTACTTTCCAGTAGATACTTCAGTTTTTCACGAATGAAGGCGAAATTTCGAGTTCTAGGTGCATGTATAAGTGAAGAAGAAGAGTCGAGCACCGTAACACTGTGTTTATTGTCCTGAGCTTTCAGGCTCGTAAAGGAGTCCATCGTGAGAGGTAGTTGCGGAAACAGAACAAGCGACAGTTATAATGCACGCAGGCCAATCATCGACCTACGGCGCAAGACTGGAGGTGACTGCGCAGGGCTTTGCATGCCGGCGGCAGATCGATAAATCGATTGACCGTGCTCTCACCCAAGGCTCAGGCTTCAATCAATTCTCGGCCTGTTTTATTTCCGGCGTGGGCGACTATTTTGGTGGATGAGAAGTCAAACTCGTCGCCCGTTTCGTAGGTGTGGGCGGCCACTTGCGATGATACGTCGCCTCGTCGCACAGCCAGCTTATGTTCGTGTGTGCGCGATCCGAACATCCGCTCAGTCCGTCCTGTGTATTTACAAGGCCAATTTCGACACGGAATGCGATACACTACTCCAGATTGCTGATCAGGTTTTAACCGGTCTCGGATTTTCATGACCCTATTGCGCATGGTGGCTTTGGGGCGGTGTGCAATTCCAACACCTAGCTCCGCAGCAATGCGCTCGGTCACTTCTGTTGCTGCCACTACCTCTGACGATGGACTCCTGTACGAGTCTGAAAGCTCAGGAGAATAAACAAAGTGTTCCGGTGCTTGACTCTTCTTCTTCTTCTTCTTCACATATAGATACTCCGGTTTACGAATTGCTGCTTCTTAATCTCCTCAGAAATTAACTGCATAATTGGAGTAGATCAGTATATACTTAGGTCGACAACGGTAGGATGAAGGACACCAATCAGCTGCCGGTTGGCCGTGGATCGTGAGCCGATGTATGCATTTGTGAAATCTAGGTGAGGACTGGCAGTTTTACCAAAGGCTGGGGCAAAAAAACGGAGATCGATCGAGGATGAATTGAAAGATAGGAGAAATGGATGCTAGTGGATAGGTTCAGTTGTTCGATGTTCGGAAACTCATTCAAGATGGGCGACATGGAATATCCGGCGGCATACCCTATATGCACACATTCGTCACTTTCCTCGGAAGTATCGCTTTGGCCACCGACCGTCTTCTGTGTTTTCCTGCGTTTCGTCGGCTTACTGTCCAGCGTGCTGCTCCATCCGTTACCCCCTCCCACTCCACCGCCATTCTCGTATGGCACGATGCACAGTACGTTGTTGAGATCACGACCGGCCACTGGTCGTGGAATAAACGCCTGACAGGTGACGGGGTAACTTGATCCTCCTCCGTGTTAGAGGAGGCCGACCTAACCGACTCATTCGCATGCCGCTCAAACGACGCACGCACATCGTGTCCTATCCATCCGCCCACACAGCGTGAGCGTGTTGAGATCGCGCCAGCCACCGGCAGGATTGGAGGGGAGCCCAGCCACTCCGCTGAGTCAGAGGTCCAGTCGACACGCTAAAAACTCAAGGCCACGATCTAATTGGCTCAATTCTGGGCGTGCCTTGGACATTTCTGTGTGAACCTTTTATCGCCGGGTCTTTGCTGTTAGGAACCAGCAGCAGACTTTCTTCTTCTTCTTCTTCTTCTTCTTCTTCTTCTTCTTCTTCTTCTTCTTCTTCTTCTTCTCCTTCGTCTTCTTCTTCAGATGAGTCAGGAAGCTACGCTACCGTTGTCCGTACGTCTACTGTCGCAGACCTCGGGCAAAATAGCACAAAGGCAACCGGCACCATAGACTCGCCGTAACATAGACAAAAGTTGCATTGACAAGGTCCTCATCATGTACTCATGTCCCTTATCTGCGACTGTCTCTGATGATAGATCCAAGTGAGAATCCGAAACGTCAGGCCAATAAATCTCCGGCTAGATCGCAGTTGGTAGCTAGGAATAGGGAAGCGGACGGCGACCTTAACCGAAATCCTAACCTTAACCCAAAACTTAACCTTAAATGTTAACCGTTAACACAAACGGCAACCTCAACCCTAGCCCTAACCGAAATCGTAAACGTAACCGTGGCCCTTAGACAGAGACCTAACTATAAAACCTAACCGTAATACTGAAACCTAATCGTAAACTCAAGCCCTAAGAGTAACCCGACAACATAAGCCTAAAGGGCATAACCCTAACCCGCAAATCGGACACCGTTAACCGGTACCCTAATCCTAACCTCAAACGTAAAACGGAAGCCAAATGGGTCAGATGTGATGATGTAGCCCCACAAAAAGCCTCAGTTAACAAACTCCCAGCCACCTGTAATACGGGGCCTGGCTACCAACTGCGATCTAACCAGATTTCTTGTCCCAATGATCACATCTCCGTCTTCCAAATATTTTTTGTAGAAAACATGTACAAAAGTAGTCTTTCTTGTACTTGTTGCATAACTAATCACGTACTCCCCAAATTCTATACTTGGAGAGAAGTTTTTCGAGGTTCCAATTCCTGAGTAAGTTTTCAACTCGGTCTGCACTTGTGGTTTGGAATGTAGAAAGGCGTATATTTATCTACATCATTAGACAGACGTCATTTAGAGCTCATGAAATTTCGTAGTGGATGCGAGCCACGTGTATTCCGTGAGATGCATTTTCAAACGAACAGATGCGATGCTGTATGAATGGAAATTTGACGGTCTTAAAAATCTCACAATTGCGAATTTTTTTAAACTAAGTGACACCTTTCTTCAAGCATGGACTCCAAAAATGACATAATTTGCCAACAAATAAGTACTTAATATAATATGTGCATGTTTTCCGTAAACAAATAGCGAATTTATAAGGAAACGAAAACCATTGGTAAGGCACATACTACTTAGGGGGCCATTTTTTGAGTACAGTTCTTGCAGACGGCCAGAAAGAAGGCAACTTAAAAACAGACTTACCGTCAGGACCGAAATACCGCGATTATGACGCGATGTTAAATACGTTAAGACACCTACGTAAACCCTTCTAGTCAAAAACACATTTCTTATTTCACCCTAAGGTAATCCCAGTGTGTATAACCGTAAATTACACGGTTCTCCAGAGGACACTGTCCGATGACCACACGTAAATGTGACCTAGGGCTACATAAATTCGCTCCGTGTTGAACAGATTTTAGGCGAAACCGTAGAGTAAGTAAATTCAGCACTGGTTCAATTCAGGCCAGGCTACCACAACTACCCGAACGGCGGGGCTCGCCGCTTACTCAAGCCGCTGGCTATCTGGCGAGTCTGTTAGTAACGGGTTTCAGCAAGGGCTGAATTCGAAGTAGACAGACTCGAATCCAGAGAATAGGCAGTCCCGGATCACACAGTGGCAGTGGTCTGGAAAATCGAACAGACCACAGCATGCCGAGGAGTTTGACGATAACGGCTCCCCGATCCGGCAAGTATGAACCTCATTAAAGCAGGTTAAATCAGCTAGCGCCGTCTTGCGGATCGCGAACGGACATACAAAACGCGCCAAGGACCAGAAACTCAACTTTGATTAAAGCCCCAAGACTTCATTACATGCTGGTTTCATCGCCACGAGTCTCCGTTGTTGATGGGACGTACAGTAGGTGGACTAACCCATGAAATATTAAGCGAAATTCCGAAATGAGTTTTCGTTTCGAAAAGATTAATTAAGTACGGCTGCAAAACTAATCAGCCTGCAGCCTGCAGGATGCCGGCTTTCGAACGAACTTCCTTCCGGCTGCGTGCAAAAACTACATCCTGTAAAAAATGACTACTTCAGTAGCATGAATTGTCCTCATTAATTTTCGATACCCCGAAAAGTCCAATTATATTTCATGGAAAAAATGCATAAACATATTACTTTGTTCATTCGGTAGACAATTACGTCTTCTTTTAATTTGATACTCGAGGGAAGGGTATAATTCGGTTTCAAAAACTTTTTTAAATTCCCGAATAATTTTGAACTGGACCTGTCGTTACACTTGCATTCCGGGTTTCCAAATTAAAAGCCGTATATTTTCCGCGAACAGAAAACCACACATTTCTCTACGGTAATAAAGGGGGACCATATAGGGTTCATAAAATTTAGCAGTGGATTTGTTTAATATTTTTAGCTTTACAGGCCACATTGGTAAATGCAGAGACAGTACGATTTATGAACGGCCATTTCACGGTATTAAAAAGTCCCACAACTAGAAACTTTTTAAACCGAATAATGTCCCTCCTTCGAGTATAAACTTATAAGAAGGCATAATATCTACAGAATGAGCGAAAGAATGAATATTTTTATGAATGTTTTCCATAAAATATAATAGGACATTAAGGGACATCGGAAATCAATGAGAAAAATTCATGCTACATAAGTACTCGTTTTTTACAGACTGTAATTTTTGCACGCAGCCGGAAGGAAGTTCATCCGAAAGCTGGCATCCTGAGGTAACTGAAATATTATAGAATTATGTTGCAGGCTGACTAGTTTTATAACCCTACTTAATTAATCATTTCGAAAGAAAAACGCATTTCGGAAATTCGGTTGAGATTTTATGTGTTAGCTCGCCTACTGTAGGCTGCAACCGACGCGCCCAGATTTTTACAAACTGATCTCCTTGGAAGGAAGCAGTAAACTGCGCAAGGCTGTTGAAATGTGAAAACTCCTCTTGGGCCGACAGTGCGTCGCCTCAACCCCTGAGCATTGGTCCAGCACACCCATTCGACCGCAGCGGACTGGAGAGCCACCAAAGAGGCGACAATACGAAGAGAATAAGCGGTGGGCACTTGGGGAGGCTTTACAGATATTATACAAAGAGGCGTTGTGGTCATAAGGAATAGGCTAAGGGTCTAAAACGTGGTTCTGAAACGTCAAGGGCGTGAGATACCGGGAGTGAAGATACCAGAGAGAGTGAGAGAAATTTGAAAAGTCAAAACCCTATAAGCGAGCAGATCCACGGCTGCAAGGTGAGGGCTGAAGGGGTGGGACGGTGGGCGCCTGAAGGGCATCAAGAGCGGCCAGTTATGCGAGAGGGTAGCAACTACCCAGAGGGGAAAACAGCAAGTAATGCCGGCCAATTAGACGGCTACAAATGTGTCCGAGTTGTAGTAGTCCTCATCCTCGTCATCGCTGTAGTAGTACCGACGGACGCCAGAGGTGCGCCTAGGACGGTCCCGTCGAGGAAGAACCCGGCTCTGGACTGACGACTGAGGACGGTGGGCTAGCTGCTCTCGTTGTCGTCGTGGTCGACGCCGTCGTGGCCGCGGCGGTAGGGCCTCGTAGTTGTCGTCGGCGCGCACTGGCGGACGTGAGATGCGGCCACGAGAAGTGCGACGTTCAGTAGACGTTGGCTGCTGCCTTACGTCTGCAGAGGTCACCTCGAGGTCGCTGTCGTAGCTCTCGGCGCCGCTGATTGGCTCTCCGGGCAGCGGAGTGCCCGCGGACACATCAATGACGGGCGGGGCTCGAAGGTGATAACGACTCTTATTGGCGCCTGGCGGGGGAAAAAGGGTAGACTGGATTACGCTTGAGATTGCGAGTATCAAAGCCAGACAATCGCATTTGGGCCCCCAAGAGTCAAGTCTAGCAAGGCACTGGTTTATGTGTCAAAGGCCATAAAAGATTCCGGTGGCATAGGCTAATGGGCGAGCAAGGAATAGGTCTGAGACGGTTGCAGAGATCATCGCAGTGCATAAATCTAGGTTCTTTTCCGATCCTTTTCAGTTTCAAGAAGGACAAAGAGGAAAAATCTGCTAGTGTCACATGGGGGTGGTGGTCACGAATCCATCCGGATTGTAGAACACAAATGCAAAGCGAATAGAGGCGAAAGTTCAGGTTTTAGGTGTATGCATAAGTGGAGAGGAAAGCTGGTCGAGTACCGGAACGGTCTGTTTATTGTTCTTAGCATTGGAACTCGTGCAGAAGTTCATCGTGAGAGATAGTAGCAACAACAGAACAAGCGGCAGCAAGACTGGAGGTAACTGAGCAGGACTCTATACGCCGCCGGCAGATCGATAAATCGATTGACTGAGTTCTCATCCGAGGCTCAGGCTTCAATCAGTTATCGGCCTGCTTTGTTTCCGGCGTGGTCGGCTATCTTGGTGACTGGGTAATGGTACTTATGACTTATTTCGTAGGTATGGGAAGCCACTTGTGATAATGCATCGCCTTGTCGTACAGCCAGCTTGCGCGATTTGAGCATGCAGCCAGTCTGGCCTGGCACTGGATGCGATACACTACCCCAGAATGCTTCACGCAGCAGAGTTATGAAAATTAAAAACCGGTTAGGTCCCGAGGAGCAGTCTGGGATAGTGTGTCACATCCCGTGCCAAAACTGACCTTGTAACTACATAGGTCAGACTGGATGCATGCTCGGATCGCGCATAAACGAACATAAGCTGGCTGTGTGTCGAGGTGTCGAATTACCACAAGTGGCTGCCTACACCACCAAAACTGGTCATGAGTTTAACTTGGCAGCCCACGCCGGAAACAAAACAGACCGAAAATTGATTGAAGCCTGGGCCTCGGATGAGAACTCAGTCAATCGATTTATAGATCCGGTGCTGCCGCACAGAGCCCTCCACAGTCACATCCAGTCTTGCGCCATCGAACGAAGATTGGCCAGCACGGTCTATAGTTACGCTCGTTCTGTTGTTGCCACTATCTCTGACGACGAACTCTTGGAGGAGTTCGACAGCTAGAATAATAAACAGACCATTCCGGCGCTCGAGTATCCTTCTTCTCTACAAATGTTAAGCTTCGTTCGGCAATCAGGAAAGATCCGTGGACGCTACTCTCAAGTGAAGCTCTGTATTTT